ATTAAACCCAAGAGTGTTTTACCACTGACTCACATCCTCAGCCCCCCACCTTTTCTTGAAGTGCTGGGGATTGAACCCAGGGCCTTGTGTATACAAGACAAGCACTCTACCAACTGAGCTATATCCCTAGCCCTTTTTTATTTTGAGAACAGGGTCTTACTAAGTTACTGAGCATCTCGCTATATTCTGGCTACAAACTTAAGATCTTCTCACCTCAGCCTCCAAACTCTTTGGGATTACAGGTGTATGCCACTGTACCCAGACAAATGCTTTTTCTTGTGTGATAAACCCATAAGAGGCCTATCCAATCCATATCCAATTTTCCCTTATTTTCTAAATAAACAGTGTGCCTAGTCCATGCAAAGATCTCCTACTGGTGTACATCAATCAAGACTACTCTGCTCCTTATTTTCATCCTCCTTTCCAGCTATAGGTGATCACAGGATCCAGTTCTGGCCAATGAGATATAGAGGAAGAATCTGCTGGGAACTTCTTAGAAAACTTCAGCTCTCCTTCTTGCCTTAAAAATGGGAGCTAATTATTTTAACCCTTAAGAGAATCAAAGAAACTCCAGCTATATCTTGACTATAGTCATTCATCGCTAGACCTATTAAGTGACAAAAATAAATCCCATACTTATTTATGCTACCATAATGCTTTTTCTTATAACTCAAATCATTCCTGATACAAAGAGTAAGGTGCTCAAGTCCACTGGCTTTTTCTGAGTACACCTTGGGGGGAATTGAGTTATGGGGAATTCAGATACATCTTAAAACACTCAATTCTGATCTACTTCTAATATCAGCCTCTGAAGTTCATTAGTAAGTTTCTTCATGTTTTATAGCTTGTTTCAAATTGATCTCAGAACCTCAATATGGAAAAAAGAAAAAGGCAAAAAGATCAGGGTGGGGACCACCAGACCAGATATTTTAACCCCAGGGTAAATGATGTCACTGAGAGAGATCTGGTGGCAGCTGACAATGATGATGCCCTCAAGCTGAGAGTCTGATGAGGACCTGGGACTGACACTCCAACACTTTTCACCGTCTGCTGATCCTCTGTATTTTCCTCACAGCTCTCCAACTCCACAGCCACATCTTGACCCTGGTGAGAGCCACAAGTTCTCCCTATGACCTTCTCCTCAGCCAGCCGTCAGCTCCACCCCAGGAAGAGCTTGCCTTGATTCCTGATCTGATCACCGTGGTCTGAGTAAGTGTGCGTGCATCTGCTAGACTTAAAGCCTAAAGCTTGAGACTTTTGATCTGACACTTGAACTTAGCATGCAGAAGAAATGTCTGTCATTAGCCTGTCATGATAATTGTGTTTGCAGTGCTTAGAATTAATCTAGAATTGTTTGCTGTGAAGTGATTATGTCTATTGCAGTGCCTAGCATTAAGGATTGACGTTTTCTTGAATAAGAATCTATAGAGTGAAACTGTATTGAATGATTTGAGTGAATAAAGCATTGACTAGGGCAGAAGCACATGGACATTCTTTATTTCTCCCTCTGGACTGCATAAATTGCACCTTTTGCCCATCACAACAGCACACTATCAACACAGAAAGCATGCATATATATAAAAAGAGCCTGAGAAGGAATGACACTAATTTAAGAGCAAAATTAGGGCTGGGAACAGTGGCCCACGCTTATAATCTCAGTCTTAGGAGGCTGAGGCAGAGAGCAAGTTTAAGGCCAGCCTCATAACTTAGGGAGACTGTCTCAAAAAACAAAACCTCAATGGCAGAGCATTTGCCTATCAGGCGTAAGGACTGGGTAGAATCCCCAATAGGAAGAGTTGTGGGGACGCAGAAAACAGGGTAGACTTCCCTTATTGTAATGCTGAATACTGAACCAAGGGCCTCAAGCATGCTAGACAAGCATCCTGCTTCTGAGCTACACCTCCCCTCCCTGGAGCTTTTTTATTTTTCACATTTTTGGTACCAGGGATTGAACCCAGGGGCACTTAACCACTGAGCCACATCCTCAGCTCTTTTTATTTTGAGACAGGGTCTCACTGAGGTTCTTAGGAACTTATTAAGTCACTGAGGCTGACCTCAAACTTGAAATCCTCCTGTCTCAGCCTCCCATCTCAGCTTCCTGAGTGGCTGGGATTACATGTACTGTCACTCCTGGCCCCTAAGACTTTTAAAATTTCACCCTTTAAACCAGTGTGGTTTTTCTTTCTGTTTCTATTCTAACAGACAAGACAAGAGTTTTGTTATGTTGCCCAGATTAGCCTCAAACTACTGGATTCTAGTGATTCTCCTGTCTCATCTTCCTGAGTAGCTGGGGACTACAGATGACTGCCACCTGGCTAAGAACCAGTGGTTCTCATTGCCCCTCATCTCTCCCAGAGAATATGGAAATATATACTGATAGGTTTTTACTGTCTCAATGACCGGAAGACTCTAAGGTAATTACTAGCCAGGGGACAGAAATATGCAGGGTCATTTTTATGTTCAAGAATTGTCCTATGGGGCTGGGGATGTGGCTCAAGGGGTAGCAGGCTCGCCTGGCATGCGTGCGGCCCGGGTTCGATCCGCAGCACCACATACAAACAAAGATGTTGTGTCCGCTGAGAACTAAAAAATAAATATTAAAAAATTCTCTCTCTCTCTTCCTCCCTCTCTCACTCTCTCTTAAAAAAGGCTCTGGGTTCTAGCTCTGGCATTACAAAAAGAGTCTCACTCTCTCTTAAAAAAAAAAAAAAAAAAAAAGAACTGTCCTACCCTAAATGACAAAGCTTACCATTGAGAAGCACAGTATTAGTCTATAAGCTCTAAGACTCCTGGGGCTGCACTAGTCTAATTGCTATTGCATCCTTGATAAACCTGTGAACCCTCATTTCTCAAACTGTGACGTCATATTATACACAGATCTCATTTATGTCCACATTAGTTTGTGGGATTCCCACTCCTGTCTCAGGAAAGAAGAATATTATTAAGATCTTATCCCTCAAAACAGCTTGGTTAATGAGGGTTTTGTTCCATTTAGGGAAGAAATAAAGAGACACAGGGGTGGGGTGTGAGTATTTTATTACTTTACTAAATAAGTCCAGAATGCAGAGTTCCCTAAAAACTAAGGTCAGAAAGACAAATGTCAGTTGTCATCTCACCTTGAACTTAGCTTTGAACTCTGCTCTAATAACTGGGAATTCAGCATTGGCTACTAGTTCATTAAGGTTCTTGGGACCCAGGAAACAGTAAAGCAACACAAAACAAGGCAAAGCAGAGAACCCATTGGGTCTGGTAGTTTAGCAATGCCCTATTAGAGAATCATCCTCTGGAGCCAGGGAATATTTGAACAATATCCCATGAAAGGAGGAAACTGGTGTGGGCTAAGGTAAGCCTGCGGAACACAGCAGGTCAGTTCCTTCCCTTCAGATACCTGGGTTCAGCCACACTTTGTTCCTCATCGAAACTACAGGAATAGCCTGTGGTTCCTGGAGGGGAAGTTGTTAAGGGGCCAAGTGCTTTGGTTTGATGCTTAGCCTTAACCTCACAGCTAGTCCAGGCTCAAGTAATAAAGGATGGCTCATTAAAGGATACAGAGCATTAAAAGAGGGATTTTCATTAACACTGGGCACTACATGGTATTTTGTTTTATTCCACTGCCCCAGCTTATAGGGCTATCTTTGCTCACAATAGTCCTGCCCATGGGATAAAGTAGGAGCTACCAAAGCTGAAATACCTCCCTTTTCTCTCAAACTCTATTCTCTTCTTTCCTTTCTAAGAAATATTTTTTCTGCACCAAAGCCAACTTCTGCTCAAAATACTAAATGTCTAGAACTGTACTGGTCCAATAGAGTAACCACTAGACACATGTGGCTAATTAAATTGAAATAAACTAAAAATAAATACAATGAGAATTTTAGCTCTCTCATATTCTAGCCTAGCCACATTTTGAGTGCTTATCAACCACATACGGCCACTGACTACCACTATACTAACCATCACTGCCAAACAGGCAATACTGCTATAAGCTATCCATACTGCCTATACACCTTCTTTCCATCAGTATTCTTCTGCCCCTTGAATATGGTTTCTCCCCCTGGGACCTAATGCTCAAATGTACCCTTGAATTACTAGAGTATCAATGGATGATACTTTCTTCAATTACCTTTATGTCTCAACCTATCTGCTGACATTAAGAACCCCTTTTATTTTGAGAAAGGGTATTGCTAAGTTGAATCCCACGCTAAACTTCTTCAAGGACCAAAACTAAAACTAGTTCCATTTGGCATTCTCTTCGACACATGATTTTCCTCTTTAACTCTATTTACATTGCAATTGTCCTTTATGCTTGTAATGTGCTTCCATGCCCTAAACTATCTATGCCCTTTTGGATCCCCAAACCTCTCACATCAAGCTCTCCCCTTTGAGCTTCAACATCTTTTTACCTGGATACCTGCCAATGTTTTGATATATTCTTCTCTTCTTTTTCCCCTGGCTCCCCAAACCAGAATGGCGAGACCTCCTTACATCTCTAACATCTCCATTTTCAAGTTTTAAAACCAGGCACCTAAGGCTGGGGATATGGCTCAGTTGGTAGAGTATTTGCTTGCCTCACATGCACAAGGCCCTGGGTTCAATCCCCAGCAAACACACACACACACACACACATACACACACACACACAAAACAGGCAACTGGACTTTTTCTTCTTACATTTAGGGGTCAGGCTCTTCCATCTTCAGTGCCATAACCCCATCGCCACTCTAGTTCAGACCCTGATTACTCTCCTGGTAAACCACAATAACTTAACCAATCAAATATTCACCTAAGTATGGGAAATTTATTGCTAGTACTGTGTATGTAATAGTATGTATTCAAATAGTATGTATCTATAAACTTATATATATTATTTACATATTCATTTATCCCCATCCCCATCCCCGCCCCCGCCCCGTGGTACTAGGGATTGAACCAGAGGTGTTCTACCACTGAGCACTATCCTTAGACTTTTTATTTTTTTAATTATTATTTTTTGTGGTGCTGGGGATTGAACCCAGGGCCTTGTGCATGCAAGGCAAGCACTCTACCAACTGAGCTATATCTCCAGCTCTTAACCTTTTTTATTTTGAGAAAGGGTATTGCTAAGTTGAAGTTGCCAAGGCTGGTCTCAAATTTGCAATCCTCCTGCCTCAGCCTCCCAAGTCTCTGGAGCTATGGTTTTTTTTTCCTTCCCTTTTTAATGTGCATTAGGAAAAGACATTAGCACATTAAACCTTTTAAGTTCAAAACAATTGTGTAGAGTAAGAATGCACCAAATTTAAAAACAAGAGTAGATTTGAATAATAAAGTAGGTAACATGCAAATATGGCAAATGTCATAAAAATGGTATGCAAATGACTGAGAATTGAAAGTCAACATTTTTATGTGGCACTTTTTTGGGGGGGTGGGTATTAGGGATTGAACTCAGAGGCACTCAAACACTGAGCCACATCCCCAGCCCCATTCTATATTTTACTTAGAGACAAGGTCTCACTGAGGTGCTTAGAGCCTTGCTTTCTGCTTGAGGCTGGCTTTGAACTCATGATCCTCCTGTCTCAGTCTCCTGGGCTGCTGGGATTATAGGCATGTGCCACTTCACCCAGCAAAAATTCAATCTTTTGGAACCCAGTGAAAATGAAGAGGCATTTTTTTTTTTTTAGTTGTCAGTGGATAGTGACCTATCTATCTATCTATTTATATGAGATGCTGAGAAGCAAACCCAGTGCTCACACATACTAGGCAAGCACTCTACCACTGAGCTATATAGCCTCAGCCCCCCAAGAGGTAAGTTTGAACATGTTTATTCAGTATCAACTGTGTGCCTTCTATCATGAGTCTTTACTAACCGAATCACCCCCACTGGAATCAATCTCTTCCCGCCTCTGAACACCCGCAGACTTTATTATCTACGGCACTCATTACAAAGGAGCTCCATCTTTATGCGTGTTTTCTCCTTCTGTTACTAGAGTTCAAACAACCTGAGACTGGGGATGGTGACTCCATCTTTGTGTCCTCACCCTAACCCTATATCTAGAAAATACCAATGTGTCTGCTGGATAAATCAACCTAGTGGCAGAAGAAATGGTATTGACAGAAAACTAAATTTGACATGAAACTTGAAGTTTTAAAACTAGAGAAAACTTTTCCACCTGGCCGTATCTACTTAAAATAAAAACAAGTTTCAAATATCTATTCTGGTAAGAAACTTCAATATTACATGAACAATACTTAAATTCTTGATTAGTACAACTGATAGCTACACTATTCAGACTGAATTATCTCTGCTGTGCATTGTTAACTGAAATGTTGATATTTAATTTCTATGATATGAACCAGGAACAATTGAGATTTATGTATATAATAAATCATTACCCTCACATGCACATTATTTGAAATATGAATAATTGTTTGTGTTAGTCTTTCCAATAATAATTTACCATTGTCTTATATCCCACTAGCACATGCTAGCAGGCCTCAAATATGTAAGAAAGGTTTAAAGAAAATGCAAAGCTGTTGAGAATTCAATCCATTTTGTGTTCTTCTGAGTAGGGATGATACAATTAGTCAATTTTAGTAGTAATGTACACAGGTCCACTGGGTGTCTGAGGATGCATTCTGAACCACTGAGAAAAGGATAAAGCATGTGTGATGGTCTTTCAACCTTACTGTGTCAAAGGAGGAGAACCTAAAGAGGGAATGGAAACAGTCTAAGCAGATTATTTAAGAGCTTGGAAGTGAAGGATTCAAGAACACTAGAATTCCTAACCCAGGGAACCTCTATTAGCCTCCCACTCTGACAGACTCCAATCAGGCAGGCTTAAATGTCAGGAAAAAATAGATACAAAAGTGGCTTTGATTCTACTGAGTCAACGGAGGGGGAGCCTATGATAACTGTTCTCCACATCACACCCCCAACGTTTTGCAGCAGCTTTGTCAATGACACAAATGCAGGGTGGCATGAGGCTTTCAGCAGCTTAGCATTTTAATTTGGGGTGGGGGTAGAATAGAGTACATAAGTTGCTTTGTGTCCCCTGCACCCTGATGCCTTGGGGACCAGCGAGGCTGACCAATAGAATCCAGAGCGAGAGTGGGCGCTGGGTTCCCCAGGAAGGGGCAGTTCCAGAACAGAGCAGAAACGATGGTAGTCATCTGTATAAAAAGTAAGGGTACTCTAGGTGAGAAGGACCGGCATCAATCTAGGTAACAATCTGGGAGAAAGGAAGAGGAAATAAAGAGGCAGCAGCAGGAAATGATAAAACAGAGCCAGGCACTACAGCCTGTGAATTTGGCTTCTTTTCAGGGTTAATAGGAAGAAGAGGTAGATTAGCATCAAGGATCAGGGATCCACAGCAAACAGATGAAGTCCCCAACAACTCTTTTTGGTGCTGTTTACTGCTTGGCTTGCTTCTGGGACTCAGCTAGATTCTTAGGTGAATGCTCTTTCTCATCTCAGATGTTTATCCTGAACTTTGGCATTAGGGCGCACATCAAGAGGCTTGCTCTCTAGGCCCTATTTCCTTAGTTGTACAGATTCTACCTTTAGTAGAACCCCTTCTAAGAGGACAACATTTGAAAAACAATTAAGAAAAATCACTATAAAATAGACTAAGAATAAAAAATATCAGGGTTTTACCACCGATCCAAGATTAAATGCCTCCCCAGCTTTTGCCAAACAAAGTAACCAGCACCAATGTTTCAAAAGTAAAGGTAGAGAGTCTAGTTTCCAAAGGACAAAACGAAAGCACGCTATGCAAAGCCTGTACCCCCACCCACCCATGAGCCAAGATCCCAGCCCCACTCTGCTGTCAGATAGTTACATAGAAGTCATGTCATTGAGGGCGTGGTCCAGCTCCTCGCTAATGGCCTTGTACTTCAGTTTCTGGGCATAGAGCTCATCTGGACAGGCACAGGAACCACAGGGAGGAATGAGGGGACAGAGTAAAAGATATCAGAAGCAGATGAAGAGAGGGAATCATTAGAAATTAGGAAAAGTGCGACCATGGGTCTAACACCAGAAAACGTCTATGCTGGCAGCCACGACTGGCTATTCTTAGATCCACTGTTTTCTAGGACCAAATGCACTTCTTGATGCCTCTGTTCAGTTGTAGCAAGAATTCAGAACCTGGGCATAGTCCTGTTACCAAAGGCACTCAAGAGGATACCACTCCCACCCACTAGCCCAATTCCTACCAGTGATAATACTGAATTCAATAAACAGAAAAGGGAGAATGCACACATCCACAGTGACATTTCTTTGCCTACCAGCTGTGAACACTATTCATGGCCCCCTTTGCTCTACAAGTTGCCTCTTCAAACTATTTTAAAGAACATCCTAGGACAAAGAGCATACCAAGGGAGCACATCTCAGAGTTCTCAAAGCAAAAGACATTTTCCATTGTCATGGTGGATGCAGTTGTCAAATTGCAGGGACAGGAAGTATGTAGAAAGCCCCTGGTCAGTTCTGAGACAAGGTTATTTTACAGCTTCATCTCTTGGAGAGGTACCCTACAACTTGATTGGTGAATGGTACTGCTGAAAGTGGCCAGGGGGTGATATGCATCCTTGCTGCCTTTTGAAATCACGACTTCCATTTCAACTTGCCAACTAAGGATTTAGGATTACTCAATGAGAAGTAAATGCAGATATTACCAATCTCCTCAAAAGGAAGGAGGCAAAGTCCAAAATATTAGGCATTCTTATTTCATTACTACAGACTGAACCCAGAGGTGCTCTACTGCCACTGAGCCACATCCTTAGCCCTTTCTTTTTATTTAATTTTGAGACAGAGTCTCACTTAGGTGCCCAGGCTGGCCTTGAACTTGCAATCCTCCTGCCTCAGCCTCCCAAACTGCTGGGATTATAGGTGTGTGCCACAGCACCTGGTTAGATAGTCTTATTAAAGGGAAAGATTAAGTATAAAAATCCAATTCTAGGGTTTGATGCACTTCACTTGACTGTGTACAGGATGGGGCACATCATATGTGCCATGTCACTACCAATTCCCCTTGGTATACAAGAAAAAAGGTACATGGTCAATGGGCAAAATCCTCCTCTATATGTCTTTATTTTAATCCCTCCCCCAGGCTCCATACCTTCCAAATCATCAATTGTCTTTTCCAGTTTGGCTACCGATCTCTCGGCAAACTCAGCGCGGGTCTCTGCCTAGGGAAAACAAAAAACCAACCAGAATGTGAGATGACAAGTCAAAGAGAAGGATATCTATTTCTTCCATTTCCTACCTCCAGACTGGATTTGCAGAATCTAAACCAGCCAATCTAAGTCTACATTGATTTCTTAAATAACTTATTATTTAGCATATATTATTATATAATTATTATATATTATATAATTATATTATTATGTAATTTATTATATATTAATTTCTTATATATTTCATTAATCCCTCAACTCACCTCCTTGAGTTTATCAGTGAGAATCTTTATTTCTTCCTCATATTTGTCTTCTTTTTGAGAGTACTGTAAAGAAGTAGAATAAAAGTTTCAGAGTAGAAATTAGTCCTACAGATAATACCCCCCATGACATTGACTCCTATTATATTCTTTCTCTCTCTTTTTTTTTTTTGTTTTGTTTTTCTGCAGTGCTGGGGATTTAACACAGTGCCTTGTGCATGCCACATAAGAACCCTACCACTGAGCCACATCCCAGGCCTCTATATTTATTCTTATATTGAATATCTTCTTGTATTTAATATGCTGAATGACCTAAGAGTTAAGAGCAAGGCCCAATTTTAGACAACCAGTTCTTAAAGTCCATCTTTTTCTTTATAGCCATGATACCCTGAGAGTAGACCAGGACCTTTATTTTTAAACCAGAGTTAAGCTTTGATCTTACTCATATCAATGCAAAGTTTTTCCTTCCTACTGATGAATGAGCAGGAATAAAGATACCCTAAGTCAACATGACTAAAATACTTCCCCATGAAAATAAAGAGAAATCTGTCTTGATTGCTCATTAGTCTTAGAACTGATTCTGTTGCCCTATCTATTTATAAGAAAGTCTGTTAGGGCCCCTGATCATGCCTTTCAGTAAAGCAGCACCAGCCTGAGAGCACAAGACTCTAGGTGCCCAAGACCATGACATTATTTTAACTAAAGCAATCAAAGTGCACAGGAGATTGCATTAAACCCAGGATCTGGATGGACATCATGGGGAGGAAGAGGACATTTCTCACTGGATTATAAGAAATGGGTATCTCCAGTCTTTCATCAAGGGCAGGGCTGGGCCCAGGCCCCAAAGCCTGTCACCTTCACAAACCAGCCCCTACCTTCTCCGCCTGAGCCTCAAGAGACTTGAGGTTGTTGGTGACATTCTTCAGCTCCTCCTCCAGCTCAGAACACTTACTGTGAACATTTTAAATACCACAGGAGAGGAAAGGGGAAGAGGAAGAGAATAAAAAAAAAAGGGAGAGAGACACACAGACGTGAATTGAACCTATCATGTAGAGAGTTGGAAGGCATACTGGGGAAAGAGAAGTTCCTTGGTAATCTGAGCAAGCATTAACCCTCCTCCCTCTACCATGGAACACATCAGGAGCAGCTAGACCCTCCTGCTCAGAATGTCTGTATACTAATAAAGAAAGAACACTTGATAGAAACCACTATCAGGAACAAGTCACAACTACCTGGGGCAGAGGTGGGAATGGATGCCCAACCCCAACAGTCCCCCAAATCACCCCAAGGAAGGAGAGACCCTGTTGAGAGGCAGTGAAATAACTGGGAAAGAAAGGATGAAAGATGCCAAATAAGTGGAAAGTATGGAGCATTCCATGAAGAGATGAGAAAGCACTCAACAAGTCAACCGGTGGAGGGGAGGAAGCTGCAAAACAAAACAAAACCAAACAAAACCACACCATACAAGGAACCTCTCTGTGGGTTTAATGGTTAGTACCTTTTCTTCAGCAGCATTCAGACACTTCAGGTTCTGGTCCATCAGTCTGATCTGCTCATCCATCTCTCGGCAACGGCTGTTAGTGATAGTCACGGGGATGGCACAAGCCAGGTTGTGGGGAGGGAGAAAGGTGAAAAAGGAACACAGCAAAAAAACAAGCAGCAAAATGAAAAAAAAAAAAAAATTCACAAAAACATGAAAAAACACCACCATGGTCATGATATGTCATGTCTGGGAGAAGGGAATGCAAGGGAAGCACAAATATATATGCATCAGCACTGACTTTGTTATACAAGGCCAGGAAGGTACTGATGGGGAGAAGGTAATATCTGCCTCTGCCCGAAAGTTGCCCAGCAGATTGGCAAAGTGGTCAAAACAGAGACCAACTCTTAAGTCAGTATAGGCACTTCAACGCTTCAAGGAGAAAGACCTCCCAGGTGAAAGGACCCACAGTTATATAAAGGACCCACAGCGCCAGTTAACTGTTCACCATTATTAGTCTTTATATTCCCTCAATTTGTAAATCTTCCCAAGAAGAAATCAGCAAGCCTCATTTGTCACCTGGTAGGTGGTCAAGACAGTGAGGAAGCCCAAGAGTCTAAAAGCACTTATAGAAGACTTCTACCCTGTAGGCCCTGTTTAACAAGGTTGAAAGAATGCTCGTTTATACGTATCAGTGTCCAAGCCAAAAGGGAAGGGATGGAACAGTACAACAAGATCTGGGGAGTGAGATACTCACGACTCTGCCAGCTCAGCTCGTTCCTCTGTGCGTTCCAAGTCTCCTTCAATAATCACTAACTTACGAGCCACCTATAAGAACAGATTCAGGTACTGCTCAAGAAAGCAAAGAAGGAACCAGTTCCCTCCTGATTCTTTGCAGAAGCCTGATGTCACTGAATCAAGGAGGACAGACCTACCTCTTCATACTTCCTATCTGCTTCTTCTGCAATGTGCTTAGCTTCTTTGAGTTGGATTTCCTGGAGTTCCATCTTTTCTTCATCTTTTAGGGCCCGGTTTTCAATAACCTTCATACCTCTGCCAGAAAAAGGATGAACGCAGCACTGACACTCCATCCCAAGGGACTCACAGAATGGACTCAAAATTGCACCTTTTAAATCGAATTCCTCTCAGTCATTCAAATAGAAATTCTGTAGCACTACTTGCACACCTGAATTTGCTTCCTTCTTTCATTCTTTCTTTCTCCTTTCCCATTTCTTATAAAAATAATAGACACTTGGTAAGAAATTAAATACTTAAGTGTATAGGCTAAGGGCATAAAGTCAAAACTGTCTCCCTTCTCATTTCTAGTCTTGCTCAGAGGTAAGCCCTTCCTCAATCCCTGTTTCACATAGATACATGCAAAAAACTCCACCCCAACTTGCCCAAAAGAATCACATACTACACTACCCTTTCCACACTTTCCACCATATGGAAATGGTACCCACATAGCTTGTTCCTTTGCACAGCTACACAGTGTTAATTTTCCTAAAAGGGCACTTTTAATTCTGAAAAGCTTTAGTTCAATACCATGCAAGTTGTTATGTACCCTCTATTGTGATTTGGCTCTTGACCTTAGTCACACATTAAAATTACTGAGGCATTTTTAAAACAGCAGTGCCTGGACCTCTCTCGCAATTAATACCAACTGAAACGGGGTGGGATACAAGCATCCCCTTCTATGCACCCCCTCGATTCTAATAGTACATCCAGGATGAGAAGCTCATTTAGTAACTCAGGGAGGAACTGAGAATTTTAATTTCTACCAAGTGCCTAGATGTTGTTCATGCTGATGGTTTGAGACTTGACTTTGAGAGCCTATGTTAAAGGGGACTAATCTCACAAATGGAAGTGTGTGATCCACAAAGTGGAAGCCACATGGTGACTCCCTTTTAAGGAGTGTTAGGTCAGTATATAGGGGGGAAAATAAATAAATAAATAACATTACAAATGGTCAGAGGTCTAGGTAACCCTTACTGTATAAAAAGAAAAAAAAAATCACAAAAACATGAAAAAACACCACCATGGTCATGATATGTCATGTCTGGGAAAAGGAAATACAAGGGAAGCACAAATATATATGCATCCGCACTGACTTGTATGTGGAAATTTTTGTACCAGTTCTGGTACAAAAAAACAGAAAGAATATGCAAAACAGAAGGAAAGAAGATTATCTATAATATAGGTTATCTATAATATAGGTTTTATTTTTTTTAAAGAGAGAGTGAGAGAGGAGAGAGAGAGAGGAGAGAGAGAATTTTTAATATTTATTTTTAGTTCTCGGCGGACACAACATCTTTGTTGGTATGTGGTGCTGAGGATCGAACCCGGGCCGCACGCATGCCAGGCGAGCGCGCTACCGCTTGAGCCACATCCCCAGCCCCAATCTTTTTTTAATATTTATTTTTTAGTTGAAGTTGGACACAATATCTTTATTTTATTTATTTATTTTTATATGGTGCTGATGATCGAACCCAGGGCCTCACACGTGCTAGGCAAGCGCTGTACCGCTGAGCCACAAACCCCTGCCCTAGAGGTTAGCGTTTTTTAAAAAGAGGTCTGTCTTGAAGTGATACCACATACTTGCAATCCCAGCAACTCAGGGCTGAGACAGGAGGATTGCAAGTTCAAGGCCATCCTCGGCAATTTAGCGAGGTCCTCAGCAATTTAGCAAGACCCCACGCTCAAAATAAAAAGAACTAAACATGTGATTCAGTGATTAAGCACCCTTGCGCTAGATCTCTAATACCAAAAAAAAAAAAAACAGTGGTAGAGCTTGTGTGAGGCCGTGGGTTAAATCCTTAGCACCATAAAGAAACAAAAACAAAACACAAGTCTCTAGGGAAATTCTGTTCAGAGTCATTATGTACTTGTCTGTTTTTGTTTTTGTTTTGTCAAGGCCTTGTGCATGCAGGGCAAGTGCTCCATCCCTGAGCTACATCGCCAGCCTATGAAGTGCGCCTGAAATCCATATTCTCTCAGACTCCCCCACACACCTCTCACTCTCATCAGCAGCTTTTTCTGCTTCCTCCAGCTTTTGCAGGGCAGTAGCAAGGCGCTCCTGAGCACGGTCCAGCTCCTCTTCAACCAGTTGGATCCTTCGGTTCAAGGAGGCTACCTCAGCCTCAGCCTGCATTTGAATAAAAGAATGGAAAAGTTAAGCAATAAATTAATGGATGAAAAGAACAATGAAAAGAACTAAGACAGTAAGATTGGGGCTGACTACCCTGAAGAGGCAAGATTCTAGGGTAGAACCTGTCTTAGCTCAGATGCTAAAAGATCTAACAGACAGGAGGAAGATATATATATGTATCTTCCTCCCTTTCCCACCAACGAACTCCCATATGTTCCACAGGAGGAGTGTTTAAAAACCTCAGTTCCTTGCCAGGCATGGGGGTGCGTGCCTATAAACCCAGCAACTTGGGAGACTAATGCAGGAGTATCATAAGTTCAAGGCCCATATGGGTAATTTATTAAGACCTTCAGTAACATAACCAGACCCTGTCTCAAAATAAAATTTAAAAAAACAAAAAACCCTCAGTTCTTGCCCAGATCAGTGACAGTACCCCATCTCCTCTTGGACTTAGTTCAAATTCCTAAAACATTGGGGTGAGAAAAGGTAGCCCGAAAAGGTTCTTTCTACCTGAATTCTGACTGGGAGGTACGTCTCACTCAGCAACTTTCTTGTAAATGTCTCATAAAATAGAAAATGAGCAAGGCTCTTAAAGAGAAAACCTTGGATTATCCATTAATTTATTGCTTAACTTGAGTTGTTAACCCTCTGATTTCCTTACTCTAAAATACCAGGAAGTAAACAAGCAAGAGAATGTTCACCAGACTAGCCTTCCAGTGGAAAGCAAAAGAATGGAACACTGGGATACCTTCCTCCATGCCTTCAACGTGCCTCCTCAACCCCTTGAGTTGCCAAGGAAGAGCTGTTTCTGGCTAAAAGTATCTGCTTTGGTGACATTACCAAAAACGAAACAATAACAACAAAAACCCACAAGTAAACATTCCACCACTCCTGCCTCCAAATTCCTGAATCCTTTCGATTTCTTTAGTCATCCCCTTACCTTCATTTTCCAATACAGTTTATATCAACCCTGTAACTGACTTCCAAGCTTGAGTGAGTAAATGTAAGGTCTGGCTATGGGGAGATGGGGTTGTGGCTCAGTGATAGAGCACTCGCCTAGCATGTGCAAGGCCCTGGGGTTCGATCCTTAGCACCACATAAAAATAAAAATAAAGGTATTATGTCCAACTAAAAAATAAATATTAAAAAATAAAAAAGGTCTGGCTATGGAATGAGAAACAAGGAAGGAGGGAGGCTGCCTGCACTGTGGACAGATTCTAAAGGTAGAAAAAGTCTCCTTCCTGTGATTGCTTTAAGTATGCAAGAATTTAATCTGCCCTGCAAACCACCCAGTTCAGATGCTTATCCAAGTGCCTGGTAAACATGATCTCTCCTCCACAGCTCGGACTGCCTGAATTCTATTACCCTGATTTCCTCCTAATAGGCAGGGTGGCAGCAGCTTAGAAATCTGGGCCACCAGTCCTATGGGGAAGGATATAGCCCAAAAGACTCCTGGTAACAACCAGGACTGGTACGAAAATTTCCACATACAAACATAGGAAGTTCAAGGGCCAGGGAAGGGGGGCAGGGAGTTGGGGCAAAAATCTAACCACCAGACTACAGGGAAAAAAATTGACAAGTCTACATAAGCTGAAACTACTAAGAAACCATTTGTGTCTCTAACCATACGATTCAAGACACCACAAAGACAAGTATTCTCTGGTTCTGTCTCTTCCAGGAAAACATATGTCCCCTAGGACAATACAGATTTCTCTTCCCAGACCAACAAGGCCAATCAGTCAAGATACAGGCTATCAGGCAGGAACTGAGAGATACTGCAGTACAATACAATTATTTACCCACTTTCAGACACTTAAAATGAAAACATAAAATATGGAACTAGACTTGGGAGGAAGCTCATAAAATGCAAGTCCCCACCAGATCAGTAGTTACCCAAATTGGAGTAGAAGATAACAAGCTATGGGGGCAGGGTTGTAGTTTCCATGACAACAAGCTGGCTCAGGCAGTTTCTCCCACAAATCAGCATTTACAATAGAATTCTTCATAAGGCTGAAAAGGGAGGAGAAAACGCCTCTTGGTTCCCTTACAAGAGCATGCGCACACAAGACTATCAAAAGCAGAACCCAAGATGGGAGCCCTATGAAGTCTTCAGAGATCCCAAAGGTTGGGGCTCCAGGTCATCACTGTTTTTTCCCCTTCTCCCATAGAGAATCAGCAGAATTGAGATCTGATACTCTTTTTAAAGAAATAAGGAAGACAACCTGACTTTCTTTCCCTTCAAGCCAGAGCCTATGCACAAGGCCTCTCCCTTTCAGGTCAACAAAAAAGAAAGTACTACCTTTTGCAAACCACACTGGCCCTGGGAAACATTAAATTTTGTGTTTCTAGTAAGCCTAGGTTTTAGCATGCTCACCCAGATACAGTCTTGGCCTTTCAGTCTACCCCCCTCTGGCCCAGCTTGGAAGATATAGTCTGAGGTCCTTCCCTTCAAGTAATAAAAGGATGCTTCAGGGCCCAGGAGGCAAAGATCTCAGGGGTGGTGGTGGAAGTGGAAGCCAACAGGAATTTGGTCACATTAGAAGATGGCTGACAGCAGCTCCAGCTATGCCAAAAGTTTGGTTTAAATGCTACCATCCTCCACTCCAGAGAAAGTCCCAAAGTAAACCACACTCCTAAAGGCAAGAAACTGACAGCGCACTGGTTCTCAGAGGCAGAACAGGGCCAAGGACAGAAGGGGATTTGCCTAAATCTGGCACTCTGCCACACTGGAGTTTCTCTTTTTAGATAAAAGCCACAGATGGAATTAAAAGGAAAAGAGAGTACTAGGAAAGTTAAGCTTGAGCCCTGTGCCTGTAAGGGACTGCTGGTACTCATTGTGTTCACAAAAAGATCTACCAGGGAGCTAGATATCATGTCCTTGGGGGAATTTAAATTTATCAAGCGGGAGGGAGGCATGTTGGGAGCAAGGGAATAGAACTGTTTGCTGGTCCCAAAGTAAACAAAGGTGGAGCCTAACTGGAGGCACTCAGAGCAAAGGGCTATTTGCTTCTCCCCTATGAGTGTGCTCTGGTATGGGGGCAGAGAATGGCAAGCAGCAGGAAAGCAAATCTAAACCAAAGGAAGGTGCTACCCACCAGACCCCACAAACATTCTAACCCTCTCCAGAGACTAGGAATTGGGGATTAAAGCCAGAATCAAAACAGCTGTTCAAAAGCTCACTCACTCCCCTCAACAAAATTCCTAAAATTTCAGGCCAGGACAAAAAGGGGAGGGGGGCTATTTTAAAAAGATAAGGTGAGGGCTAGGACTGTAGCTCAGTGTAGAGTTCATTCTCCTAGCCCCAGCCATTTGGGAGGCTGAGGCAGGAAGATCACTTGAGCTCATGAGTTCAGAGTTCAAGAAAAATCAAAAAGACCCCCTGTGGAAAGGAGGAAAAGGTTACAATGTTACATATGTAACATTTTTACCACCACAAATCGGGTTAAGAAGACGACCTGCATTTAAATTTTATATTGCCAGAAATACAAAGGAAACTCAAAACTAAAAGTGGATTTTAGAAGGTGCTACATTTAAAAAGGTCTATCTCCAGTTTGAGACCAGAAAAGATCCATCTTTTCAGAACAACTCCAGTGTCTCAGCTTTGATCTCATCCAGCTTCACAACATGGGCTGCTGGTATTCATACAAAGTAACTAAAAAAAATAATTGACAGTCCCACCAACAGCCTGAGATATCATCAGGGAGTGCTGAGCTTCCAGCTCTAGAGGGAGGAACCCGCAAAACCCACATTCCAGAATGCCCTTAAGAGAATAACAGGGCTGGGAATCAAGCTTAGTGGTAAAGAGCTTGCCTAGCACACAGGAGGCCTTGGATTCAATTCCCAGCATGGGATGAAAAAACAAGTAGAATAACAGGTGGTTCAGGCATCCCTTTCCCTTCCTACCATCATTTTACCTCAGGAGAGTTTAAAGTTCACTAGAGCAGAAAGCCAAAAGATTATGTTCCCTCAGGCTAAGGAAGAGTAGATACTGGTTTCATCAATATTTAACTATCACCCTACTTCCCCACTTCCCCATTTTGAAAACTTCCTCACTAGACCTCAGCTCACTATGCAAATTTGGTAGGCTGAGTGAGGGAGGAAGCTACTTATGAAACTGCTCACTCTGTTGCTTTTCACCCCAGAATCACCAAGGAAAGGGGGAAAAAAGAGCCAAATTTTCCTGCAAGGAAATTACCAAATCTTGGGACACACAACATCATCTACCCAAAATTATTCTTAGAGTGCTCATATTTAAATGATGAGCCTAAGATGCTGCAGCTCAACATCCTCCATACTCTGTCTTCCCCTTTAAGGCTATCTGGTCTCCAGAGCAAAAGAGATGAGAAAGTGTCATTTGTTTGAGTCACTCAGCCAGTCCATCTCACTTGAATTGAAAATTAGAAGGTACGGGTATACTGAACAGAGGAAAAATACACCTAGAAAAAGGTAACTGAGGAAAACAAGCTGCAGCATCTCCATACTATTATAAAATACAAGTATCAACTTGGAGCACAGCTATAACTTCCCTTTCCCACCCCTTTCCAAATTTCACTTCTCCCCCCAAAAACACATTCTCAGTCACTCCCACTGGGGCATGAAGAAAAAAAAAAAAAAGAACCTATCAAGAGGAAGAACAAAAGAATATCAAGAAACCACAAGAGTTCTTTCATCAGGTCTTCACATCATTAGCAACAGTTACTTTAGGCTCATCCCCTGAAATCAAAGATTCAAGAGATCAGCTTCACCCACTAGACTGCACCCTAGATCTTGGAAAATATTATGGCTTACTAAAACTAGTCAACCACTTCTAAAAGGAAAACTCAAGAATCACCATTCATTCCACCAGCACTTTATGTTCCAACTTCCAGCTGAACAAATATTGAACTTTAAAAAAAAAAAAAAAAAGACTGTATGGACAATTCGGAAAGTAGCAACTATTCTGTCTGCATCCACCACATTGCCCAGCTCAATCAGAACTACCTTGAGATTGGCACGGA